ATCCCTAAATAGCATGCTAAGATACCAAGAGATTCTTACTTGAATACTGTTCCTTATATGTGTATTTTTTCTTGACATTAAAAAAATTATTTCCTTTTAATTATAAAAGTACCACAGAAAATGTCAGCAAGTTTAAAATGACAAAATAATTCAAAGCAAAACACAAGTATTGGAGCACGCCTGTAAAATCCCAGCTACTCAGGAGGCTAAGGCAGAAGGATAAAGGTTTGAGGCCAGCATGGGCAACTCAGTGAGATACTGTCTTAAATAAAATGAAACAAGGGCTAGGGATATAGCTCAGTGGTAGAGTGCTTGCCTAGCATGTAGAAGGCCCTGGGTTCAGTGCCCAGTGCTGCAAAAAAAAAGAAGAAGAAGAAGAAAAATTCAAAGAGAACTTTCATTAGCATTTTGGAGCATTTCCTAAATTCTGCCTCTCATTCAAAACAAAATTAGTTCATGCTTGGTGGCTTACTCATATAATCCCAGTGGCTTAGATCTGGAGGCTGAGTCCAGGAGGATCACAAGTTCAAGTTTAGCATAAGCAATTGGCAAAGCCCTAAGCAACTTAATGAGACTCTGTCTCAAAATTAAAAATAAAAAGGGTTGGGGATGTAGTTCAGTGGTAGGGCACCCCTGGGGTCAATCCCCAGTGTGTGTGTGTGTGTGTGTGTGTGTGTGTGTATAAAAGAGAGAGAGAGAAGGGAAAAAAAAAGATTAGGATCATACATGTGCAGAGCCCTGGGTTCAATCCCTATCACTGCAAAACAAAACAAATAAGTACTTAAAATAATCTCTGTGTTATAATACCATTTTGTATTACTGACCAAAATGTAACCTGGCTACTGTCAACATTCCATTTGTTAAATCTTGCTGAGAATAGAAATAATGTAGTCTCTCTTTAGATTGAAATATTATTTCCAGGAAATTGAAAGTTGTGAATAAGAATTAATTTTACAAGCACCAATTTGGTGTTGATAGTGCAAATCACTTTTCTTATCAGTAAGCAGTAATATTATTACCAGTATTAATTTTAGCTTTAACACACTTAATGGACTTAGTTGAAAATTTCAAATGACTATTTACAATTTAAAATGTATTTTGTTACTAATAGTACCTAAGAGAAAGACTTTAGAAATTGGTACAAAGAGTTCACCTGATGATTCTTGCTGTTAAATCTTTTTTTATTATGCCTAATTAACTGTTAGGTATTCCACAATGAGACTCCTGTTAATTTCAGTTGTATTAAAGCAATGTTCTAAGGAATGCCGTAAGAGACAGAGATAATTTAGTGAAAATTGATTTAATATTGGTACTCTTTTGTTTTATTTGTAATGTATTTGCCTTGGTGATATTCTCATTGAAAATAGCTTCTTTGGTAAAATGTACTTTATAAGCAGTTTTCAAAGTATGTATATATATATAGAGAGAGAGAGAGAGAGAGAGAGAGATTGGCTTTATATTTACTCTAAAGTCTCAGTTAAGGCAGGCTTCTTTTAATCAGTAACTTCTTGCTTTTCAAGTTCTTCAACTAGTGAAAGAGGTAGTAAAATGAGCTATTGGCTTGATAACTAGAAAACTTATTTGTGTCTATTTAATATGTTAAATAGGAATAATAATCAGTATATTGTAGATGTGAGTGAATATATAAATATAGAATGACTGATTTTTTTATAAAGTTAATTCTGGTGAGTAGTAGAGCCTTGTAAACACAGATTTCTCAGCAGAGTTTACATTAGTTGCTTACATTAATTTATTATGGGAAACAACTGATTCACCTTCCTCCCATCTGTCAGGTTATCCTTCCTTTTTAACTTTCTAAGAGAAATGGTTACCTATCAGGAATCTAACAACAACAACAACAACAAAAAACACACACACACTTTTTTTTTCACTGCTTTTCTCATTGTTTATTGAGTAATAGATTTCAAGCTTCTGTTGCTTAACAAAATACTTGTATTTTTGTGAGTTTCTATAGCATTTTGCATTGGGGCTGTGCTTTGAATTGCCTAGAAGAAAAAAATTAACATGAATTCAGTGTTGGTATTGCTAGTAAGATCACTATAATTTTTCTAGAAAACTTATCTTCCCTTTAGTTTTGAAGCAGTTCACATAGATGGTGCACATACACATACACACACACACACACATATTTCAGCATTTAATAGTTACTTTTAAGTATTTGTTGAAAAAAGAATACTGTACCTATGTGTACATGCACACACACACATTTTGACCAGATTGCCTCTTCATGCTGATTTTAATTTTCTTGTTTAAAGTAAATGTTTTAAGATATAGCCAGGGTCAGAGTCACCTTTATCAAGGGCCAAATTGAGTATATTTTGTCCTTCACATTAGAAAGTGTGTGTATATAAATAATACCAGTGTATGATCACTAGTCCCTTTATAAACAACATTTAGGTAAATTCAATCTGTGGATCCCCTGAGAGTTTATAAATGCATCTTTCTTGGATTTCTTCTTTTAATGTTAGTTCATATGATCCTGAGTATTTGTTACAACCACTCCTTTTCACTTAGGATAAAGCTTAGTGCTCTCATATTTGTTTTGTAAAGAAGACAGTGTTATTTGCTTTATAGGTAGTTTCTCTGTCTCTTCCACCCTCCCCTTTCTTTCTCTTTGAAGTGCTGGGGATTAAACTCAGGACCTTGAGCATGGTAGGCACACGCTACCACTGAACTACAATCCCAGTTCCTGAGCTGTATACCTAGCCCCAGTTACTTTTTTTTTTAATAACTGTATTTTATTTGTTTCTTTTGTATGTGGTACTGAGGATCGAACCCAGTGCCTCCTTATACATGCTAAAGCAAGTGCTCTACCACTGAGCCACAACCCCAGCACCCCCAGTTGATATTTGATTTGAATATATGTGGTCAAAACTAAGCAGAGAATACAGATAGAATAAAATTCCTAGAAGAAAAATTTGTAAGTTATTCTTATTAATTTTACCAACTTTACAGTTTTAAAATCTGAAACCTATACTGAAATGAATTCATTCACAAATATTTAATGATTTCCTTTAGTGGAAAAACCACATTGTGACATTCTTTGGAACATAAAATCAATGTTGCTTTAATATACTTTTAGTGTAGAATATAAGACACATACATTTAAAATTGTTATACAAAATATAAAAAGCAATAAAATAATGTTAGTAAACTACAGATATGTTCATTCTCTAGGAGCTTTGTTATTTAGCAGTCTTGTCAAAAGTGCCACCAATACTTATTCCCCAAAAGTTGGGAGGGATTCTTATAATGATAAAGTAAAAGGAAGATAGTTCCTAAGTGGGGAAAAGATTGTCTGAGTGCCCCTAGATGATGCTCAGTAAATGTCTGAATAGTTAATGAATTAATAAGGCAAGGGACAGAAGTATTGTTGTATCTGAACACTTTTATAGTATCATTAAAAATTTTTCTTAAAAACTTACTTTTAGAATAAACCATTTAGTTTGGCTAGAAAGTAGTTCACATAGATTCTGCAAAAATAAATTTTTTTCATATATTATAGTTACTTTTATAAGTGTTTGTTAGAAAATGGACATCTATCCATCTATCATTCTTTTCTTAATGACTATAAATTTTGACCAGATTGCCTTTGATGGAAATAAAGGAAGGTTCTGAGGATCATAAAATAATAGTTAATTTTCCCCTGGTGTGAAGTAATCTAAAGACTAAATGATAAAATATAGCTAAAGCATACTACTAGCATACTACTACATGTTATATTTGGAGGATGATAGTAGGAGCTTGGCCTACTTAAAAAAAACATGAAAATATGTATGCTATTATGATAGGTGCTATAACCAGTGTGTTACACAGAGCATAATGGACATAGATAAAGGTTTTTTTACATCTGTAGGCTGAGGGCTAGTGATGATATAGGTACTCCATGGCATGCTTGAAAAAAAATTAGAATAAAATATATAGTGGGGGAAAATATTTAATTGTTTTACATTGTTTTAGGGTTAGACTAAAGCTACTGTTACTAGTTGCATGAAAGGATATAGTGAATTGAATAGGGGGAGATCCATTTTAGTAATTTGGGAAAACCAAGTTAGTTATATATAAAATTGTAACATCCCTATTTGTAAAGTTATAGACTAAAGAGTGAGTTTAGATCCATTAACTTAACATTTTTAAATTAATGCTCCAAACCAGGAATTGGGCAAAAAAATAATTGCTCTGAAATAACAAGAGGTAGTTATAAATGTTGCTTGATAAGGAGCATCTTCATAAAGAGAATATTTAAACAATGTATGTATTATATTGTACTCATAAATGTCACATTTAATATGCAGGATTTATCCAGGTTGAGTGAAGAGGAAAAATTTGATAGATAGCTTTTAAATAATTTTGCTTCACTTTTAATATAAGCCCCATAGTTCAAAAAATCACTTTAGCTACTGTAAGCTAAACACTTTATTTAGATGAACCGATTTATTATTGTATTGGTTGCTGTTTCTTTACTAGATTATAACAAAGACATTGTTTTTTTATGTGGTAACAGAAATCATGACTTATTTTTTATTTGTTCAGTAGTAATATTTTAAAATAATTTTTCTCATTTAAAAAGTGGTAAGTAAACTTAAGTCTAGATAAATATAGAATTTTCTTTAAAAGTCATTGTGCCATGGAGTATATATTTCTACACTGATATAACAAAAAATTAATAATGATCTGGTTTTAGTATCCAAATGAAATTTATGTAAAGTTTCTTTGCCTTAGATTTTATTTTTAAATGCTCTCAAATTATGTGATTTAGTAATATATTGGTATTGTTCTTCATTGGGTAATGACTTTCTCTGTGATTATTTGAAATATAGTATGCTTGTCTATACTAACAGTAGATCCTTTTATAGTTGACAAACTGCTATGTCACTGTTAATGGTGGTTTTACATGTTGTGGAAATGAATTTCCTTATCATTTTACTTATTTGATCAAATTGAAAATCTTAACTATATTTTAAAACTTTCTGCCACAGCGTTTTACCAACGAGGATCATTTGGCTGTCCATAAACATAAACATGAGATGACACTGAAATTTGGTCCAGCACGTAATGACAGTGTCATTGTGGCTGGTTAGTATATGCTTTTTTAATAGCTTATATACATATTTCACCTGGAATGTGCACAATTTTTGTGTATTCTCTGTAAAAATTATAGTCTGGTGATACTCCAGTTACTTCATTTACAGTAAATGTTGGCAACATGCATTTTACCCATTACATTTTCATGTGTTCTTCTGACCATTCATTTCACTTTTTTTTGTCTAGTTTTCAAATATAAATTTCAATGTTAATTTTATGGAAGTTAATTGAAATTCTGGGAATATTCATACAATCTACAAAGTTTACAGTTAATTGATAATTGAACTAATATGGTATTTAGTCAGTGTTTCTTTTAGCTATCCTAACTCAGTTTAAAAGGCTATATGATAGAGAAAGAGCAATTAGGAGACTTGTCCATTAGGATTTTGTTAATTCTTTTTATTTGTATTAATAAAATATTCTTGATAAAGGAGCCTAAATTCAGTCAGTGCTGTTTTGGGTGTTGATCATACATTCTTAAACAAACAGGTGATTATTTTTCATTACAAATAAGAAGAAAGACCTCATTCATGCATTGGTTTATTGTTATTGCATGCTGTATTAGCTGCCTTTTTGGTATTTAAGTATATACACACACATTCATGTATATGTACCCACATATATTATGTATAATTTTAGTACATTTGCATATTTTCTGATTATGTATTATGATGAGAATAAGTTTTAGCCTGGTGCGGTGGCACATGCCTATAATCCCAGCGACTTGGGAAGCTAAGGCAGGAGGATTGCAAGTTTTAGGCCAGCCTCAGCAACTTAGGGCCACTGAGGGCCTAAACAACAAGTTTTAATATCAAACTTTACAAAAATGTTAGACCTTCTATATATCATAATGACAGATTTGCATTATATTCAATTAACTCGAGATTCTTTTTTTCTCTTGTGAAGCTTAGGCTATACTATTTGCAATTTTGGAATTATACCTGAATACTATTAGTATTTTTAAAATTATTACTGAGTATTGAGATCAAATTGTCATATACAATGCTTTGGGTAGATAATAAGACAATATTGGATGGCTTGTCCTGTACTTTCAGGATCTAAATTTTTGTAATGAAGAAATTGGAGGTAACAAAAAGTTGGTAAGTTTTTGTAAGGAAACTTTCAACTTATCTTCAGTCCTATAAGTAAAAGAGAAGAGCCTTTCTTTGGAATATTATAGATATTAAGAGCTAGAATTAAAAAAATAAAAAGAAAAAAGCAAGAAAAATAACCTGGAAAGTTTACTCCCTACATAAAGGTTTTTGTTTCCCTGAGAGCATTTTCTTTCTGTATAAGTTCTGAATTCATAAAATGTTTTGAAATTGGTTTCTAGAAATTATTTTCCTATCTGATCACATTTCATGGAGTGTAAAAATATAGCACAAACAACACTTGAACATTTTTTTACTGACATGTTGAGATGATTGTTTAACATTACTGTATAAATAAAATGCATGATGTGTGTGGTATATATTTGATCAGTAGCCATATACAAACAATCGTGCCTATCTTGACTTGTCTCAAGTCTGATGGTTCTAATAATCAATAAAAGTGACTTATACTTATGCATTTTTAAGACTTTCCATCCCTTTAATATAAATTAAGAAACTTTTAATAAGCTTAGATAGACAAATCTTTTGGCTGTAAACAAAAGAGTCCAAGTTATATTTGACTTATTAATACAATCATGAGGGACTTGAGCTGATGCATGCATGTATGCAAATCCCTTACTGTAATATGATTTTGGAAGTCTTTTGGGTGTTGGAGTAGGACATAGGTTAAAGATTAATTACAGGTAAAATTATGACATAGTAGAGTCCCTAAAGTAATTCTGATATTACTAATAGTGTCTGAGACAGGTTTAAATTATATCTAATGTGTGTGACAAGTAGGTCATTTTAGTGTTAAAATATATTTATATGTAATATTACTCTGGGTACACCTGGGTGATAAAGATAAAATAGTAATGCCCACTTTGGGAAAACAATAGTTAACAAGTACAAGAATTTTACTTTCACAAAAAATATTTTTGGCTTTTCTCTTAAACCAGGAGTTGACCTTGGTAGTCTAAACATTTACTTAGTTTAGACTAGATTCCTGGTATAACCTATAAAATCGATGCTCTAAAGTATATAAAATGTGAATGAAATTTAAATACACTACCAATTCTAATTAATATGAATAAAGAGCCTTGAAAATAATAAGATTAAATGGGTAAATTTTATAAATTTGCTATTTTTCATTCACCATGGGCCTTAACTGGTATTTATTCTATAAGCAATGCATAAACATGTTCATGTACCTAACATGAGTACTTACTGAAGTACAATGGAAATATTTCAATTTGTAAGAAAGTAATTGTTAGTTGTAAAAATTAAGCTAGAACTTTTTTTTGATACTTGACTCTAACATACTCCTCATACCAGTTTTATAAAATGCATTAAAATAGAAAATGAACTTCAGTTGACAGTAGTGAAGAGGGCTGTCTTTTGTTTTTAGGGCTCTCATTTTAACTTTCTTTTTCTTTCTTGTAGTATTTTGATCCACCTATTAAATATTAAAGATTATATTTTAATGTTTTTAAGACTAAATTATAAACAACTGGAGAAGGGTCAAGTTAAAGCAAATATAGATGCTCTTACTCTACTTTTTCCCAAATTGCATGTATTTAAACAATTATAATTTTAATGTAAATTTTAAAAATTCTAATCACTAGGATAATAGTTTATCTCTAGAGTAGAGTATGTTTTTGCCACTCCACTAAGAGAGGAGTGGACTATGGAATCAAAAGGATTTCTTTCATATTTTTATGGTTCATGAAGTTGGAGAAAATATTTTTAAGTTCAACAAAAACTTAACCAAATTTTGTTTGTTTTAAAGGAAGAGATTTCAAAGAGAGCATTAACAACTGATTGAACCAGTCCTGCTAATTTGTTAATTTACTAGCTATATTTTAGAAAGTCTTAACATGATATTTAAATTTGCATGATTACTTCTTGACATTTATTTCAGATCAGACCCCAACACCAACAAGATTCTTGAAAAACTGTGAAGAAGTGGGTTTGTTTAATGAGTTGGCAAGTCCATTTGAGAATGAATTCAAGAAGGCTTCAGAAGATGACATTAAAAAAGTATGTTGTTAACTGTGAACTTAAAGAATACTTCTGATTGGAAAAGTAATGATCGTATAAATTTCCTGCTTCTTAATTTAGACATACTGATGTAGTTTTTGAACTTATAACATTTTCTTTGTTGTTTGTATTAGATGCCTCTAGATTTGTCCCCTCTTGCAACACCCATCATAAGAAGCAAAATTGAGGAACCATCTGTTGTGGAAACAACTCACCAGGATAGTCCTTTACCTCATCCAGAGTCTACTACCAGTGATGAAAAGGTTAGGAATATATGTAGTAGAAATACAAGTTAAGTGGAAAAAATTGGTGCTCCCAGTAAAGTTTAATTATTTAATCTCTACAAAATGTCAATGTATTAAACTATATAAAATTCATTGTCACCTTATATTTGTGAATATTCAACATTTCAGGGGAAAAAGATTCTACCTTTACAGATAATTATCTTTATTACATTGAAAAATTATGGGATAGAGCAGCAATCATTTTACAGAAATGCATAATTTTAAAACGTGTAAATTTATAAATTTAACTGCATTTTTCTGAGTTTTGCCATTTTATTTTTAGCTAGTTTGATATAATAACAACTTAATTTAAAAGTTTTTACAACTAAAATTTATTTGAACAATGGTTATTTAAGTTTTTAAAAAGTAACTGGTTACTTCTCAGCAGTGGATCTTTGGTATTAGTAACTAAGATGGTGATGATACTATCTTGAATCCCCTGTTAACCTAAGGCCATCTGGGCCGTTATGTGTTGAGTGACATTGATCACTTTTTTCATTTATAAGCACATGAAATGAACATATATTTATTGGGTAGCAAGAGGCAGTGGTCATTTTTAGATACGTTATTCTAAAGCCATAACATTGATGGAAATATAAATAGGAAATATAGTCATATATCATTTAATGACAGAGATTCATTCTGAGAAGTGCATCAATTGGCAATTTCATCATTGTGCAGGCATTAGAGTGTACTTACATAAAACTAGATAGTATAGCATATTAACACACTTGGGCTATATGGTACAACCTATTGCCTCTAAGCTATAAATCTTTACAGTATGTTACTATACTGAATACTGTGTAGGCAGTTGTAACCCAATGGTAAGTATATGTGTGTCTAAACATAGAAAAGGTACAGTTGAAAATAAACTATAAAAGATAAAAAAAAAATAAAAAAAATGGGACAGTTGTTGCTGGGCGTGGTGGCACACGCCTGTAATCCTAGCAGCTCAGGAGGCTGAGGCAGGAGGATTGCAAGTTCAAAGCTAGCCTCAGCAAAAGCGAGGTGCTCAGCAACTCAGTGAGACCCTGTCTCTAAATAAAAATACAAAATAGGGCCAAGGATGTGGTTCAGTTGTTGAGTGTTCCTGAATTCAGTCCGTGGTACCAAAAAAAAAAAAAGAATAAGTTATACTCCATGTATATATAATATGTCAGAATATACTATACTGTCATGTATATCTAAAAAAAATAAAACCTATTTAAAAAATAAAAAATAAATCTTTTAAAAAAGAGGGGACAGTTGTGTAAAGCACTTATTGTGAATGGAGTTTATAGAACTGGAAATTGCTCTGTGTGAGTCAGTGAGTGGTGAGTGAATGAAGGCTTAGAATATTACTATACACTACTGTAGACTTTATAAACACTGTATACTTAGGTTATATTAAATTTATTTTTGAAATTCTTCCTGTAATAGTACTTTAACTTACTGGTTAACTTTTTTACTTTATAAACTTGTTATTTTTTCAACTTTTCAACTTTTTTGTAAGAACAGTTGAAAACAAACCCACTGCATTAGCTGTACCAAAATATTCTTTTTATATCCTTATTCTATAATATTTTTTCTATTTAAAAAATTGTTTTTCTTGTTAACTTTTTTTTTAAGATCTAATACACCAATACACACATTAGCTGAGGCCTTTGTAGGATCAGAATCATCAATGTCACTGTCTTCCACTTCCACATTTTGTCCTTCTGTAAGGTCTTTGGGACAGTAACTCACACATGGAGCCATGTTACCTATGATAGCAATGCCTCCTTCTGGAATCATTTTTGAAGGATCTGCCTTAAGCTCTTCCTGAGGATATGTCACTCTTTTCAGAAATATGTCCAGGGTGGTTTGCTCGGGTAGTTTTCATTATACCATGAATATTCTTCCCAATTAAAGAAATTAATGAAAACCTTTTTGGTGTTGGTGTCCTCGTTTTCAAAATTCTAAAGCAACTTGTTTAGATTTGCAAACACTTCTTTTAAACCCTTCCCTGTGAATTTTTTGGGGGGTTCTTTTTCTTGTAATTTCCTTTTATCTTTTTTTCAGCTATGTGTTTCCTGGGTAATACATTTTTTCAGTTCTATATTATGCAGCCTATTGTTGACATAATGTCATTATGCAGCATATTACTTCAGAAAAAGTAACTTTTTATCCTAGAATAAAAGTTTAGGGTTGTTTTTTGTTTTATTTAAATTTTCTTTTTTTGATGATAAAAGTACATTCTCACCATAAGAACTTAAAGAATAGCAAAGAAGGCAACTAAAATCACCTCTTAGCCCATAATTGGAATAATAATTACTAATATTTTGAGGCTTTTTTCCCTTTATTTATACATACATTTATACATACAAATATGTAAGTGTATAGTTGCATAGAAGGGTAGCTTGCTTTTTTTTTTTTTTTTTCTCTTGCCCAGTACTGCGGATTGAACCCAGGGCACTGCCACTGAGCTAAATCCCCAACCCTTTTTAATTTTTTATTTTGAGACCAGGCCTTGAACTTGTGGTCTCATTATCTCAGCCTCCCATGTAACTGGGATTACCAGCATGTGTTCCTGCACTTGGCCTTACATTGTACTTTATATATGTAGCACTAATGAACATTTTCCTTTGTCATTAGGGATTTCTCAAAATCACAATTTTTAATGGTTGTACTTTGTTTTATAATTATCTTGATTATTTAATTATCCTATTCTTTTAGGACATAAGGTGGCTTCCACGTTATCACATTATTAGACATGTTGTTAAATCCTTAAGATAAATCATTTTTCCTGCAGAGCATTCCAGTCCCTTCACTATTACATGGCTGCTTTATCATCTTTTAAGGGTATTTGCTCTTCCCGAATTCCTTAATGTTAGCTCCTCTTGGGTAAGGGCATAGTTATGTCAAGGTATAAAAAATTATTTCTGATTTATCAACTGAGGTCTCTTGAGATTTTCATATTCATCTCCACTTGATATTTCCTTTTTTATGTCTGATAGGCATCTTAATATATCTAAATCAGAGCCCTTAATTCTTTTTGCCAATTTTCCTCTGCAGTAAATTTTCTCCACTTATCTAGTTGCTCAAGCCAACAATTTAGGGATCATCCCTAATTCCTCCTTCTTTTTCACATTGAAACCAACAACCTTTCTTATTAGACATATTTCCAGAATATATCCTGAGTCTTACTTATCCTTTTCTTTCTGTGTTCATTGTCACCACTTTAAGCCAAGTCATTGTAGTATTTTTTATTATTAATATTTGTGTTCTTTTTTGTGTAGTGCTGGGAATCAAACCCAGAACCTCTAGAATGCACTGTACCACTGAGCTACTTCGCCAAACCTCTTTATTTCTCTCACAGGAGATGGGGTCTCACTGTGTTGCCCAGCTGGCCTCAAACACATGATCCTGCTGCCTCAACCTCCCAAGCTGCTGAACTACAAGTTCATGCTTCCACCACTACGCTTAGCTAACTTCTTACTGAACTTCCTGCATCCATCTCTAATCTATTTTCCATAGTATTTTGGGATTTGTAAAACAATACATTGGGGCTGGTTCTGGGGTGTAACTCAGTGGTAGAGCACTTGCCTAGCATGTGTGAGGCACTGGGTTCAATCCTCAGCATCACATATAAGTAAATGAATAAAATAAAAGTTCATCAACATGAAAAAACATTTAAAAAAATACTTTGGGGCTGTAAATATAGCTCAGTGGTAGAGCATTTGCTTCAGCATGCTGGATGCCCTGGGTTCAATACCCAGCACCAATAGATAGATAGATAGATAGATAGATAGATAGATAGATAGATAGATAAAGCAAGCAAGTAGCTCCACTGCTGAAAAATCCTTCAATACTTTGCCATTGTATTTATGATAATTGACACTCCTTAGCATAAGCCTTCTCTGATCTGAACTTGTCTACTCATTCATCCTCAACCTCTTGCCTCTGTTGTGTTCATCAAGTACTGTAAGCTTTTCCTGCCTTGTGATATTACTTCCTTCTTCCTAGCATGCTTTCCTCCTTACTCTTTCAGTATAGTTCAGATATCATTTTGCAAAACAGCTTACCTTCTCTTATTCTATCTAAAATATCCAACTCTACTTTGTAAACCCTTAGATCTTCCAGTATTTATTATGTTGCATTTATTATTCTGTGACACTTCACACTTGTTACAATCTAAATTGTTTTGTTTGTTTTAGTTTATTATTTCTCTTTCCAGTCTTTGAGAACATGTTACAGGTTCTCAAACTTCTTGAGTAAATGAAGCTCCTTCTTCTATGTACCTTAGTAAGAATTCCACAGTAAGTGACAGTGTATAGACCAATTTAAAGAACATATTGTACCCAGTTTTTATACCAATTAGTTAAGGAGTTGTGAGTAAGACCCTAATCTCTTTGTTTGCTAATCTGTGAAACTGGGGAAAAGAGTACCTTTAAGGCCCTGGCTGAGTCATAAATTATTTTTTCCTTTTAATACAGAAAGGTCTTACTCCAGTAATTATTTATTTATTTTACATTCAAGATAGCAATATTGGCCTTTTGATATTGAGAAATTATGGCTATTAGAGGGGTAGCTACCTATTAGCAAACATTTGTGTTGCTTTAAAATATTTTTGAGCATTTCTCTTAGTGAATTTTGGTTAATGATGACGTAATCTCCCCATACTGGTTTCCTGTCCATACAGTATAATGAGGGAGTATAATTAGGCAATTCCTTCTGGATTCTGTGTTCTGTGATTCCTGAAAATGGATTGTATTTGCATATTTTACTGAAATTCTCATTAAATCATAGCCAAATTGTCTAGCCTAATTTTTTATAGATTGATAGAAACACAGTTATTCTGGGAGAAAAAAAACAAGTTGTTAAAAATTAAATTATTGAGACTGCATAGTGCTTTACAGCTGCCTCTAAATTTTGCTTGTTTTGTGATGCTGGAATTTGAACCTAGGACCTCACGCATGCTAGACAAACACTGTACCACTGAACTACATCCCAATCCCCTAAAATGTACTTTCAATTAATTTTATTATAAATTAATTTGATTTTTGGGTGTTCAAATATTATCTTGTGGATGTTTTTAGAAATATGTTTCATTCTGTTTAATAGGGTACACAAATTGATTTGCATTATAATTGACACCCTTTCTTTATCTCATTATTAAATAGGAAGTACCATTGGCACAAACAGCACAACCCACATCAGCTATTGTTCGTCCAGCATCATTACAGGTTCCCAATGTGCTGCTCACAAGTTCTGACTCCAGTGTAATTATTCAGCAGGCAGTACCTTCACCAACCTCAAGTACTGTAATCACCCAGGCACCATCCTCCAACAGGCCAATTGTGTAAGTGATTTGGCCAGTCATTGACTGTATTATTAGATTTTTCTTAAGACATTTAATTATTCAGATTGTGACCTTAGTTTTGTGTGTGTGTGTGTGTGTGTGTGTGAGAGAGAGAGAGAGAGAGAGATCTGCATATTTTGATTTCAGAAAACTTGATTTCTTTTTTTTACTGTAAATACTATTTATAGATTAGAAAATAAATATCTAAATCTTAGTTAAAAACAAATCATCATAGGATGTGAATTTAAGATGATCTCTTATTTTCATGCTATTTCAAAAAAAAGAAAAACATAAAATTACTACATCATCAGATAACATTTCTTTCGGTTCTTACAAGTAGCTTCCAAGAGCTTTTTGATGAGAATTTTTCCTATTTTATGGAATAGAGATTGTCCCAAATGAATCTATAATCTTTTCCATTTTTTAACATTGTTGAATAGATTGTACATTTAAGATACAATTAAAACTAATTAAATTTTGCAGTTTGCTTTACAGTGATTAGAGAATTTATTTTTAAATAATTTTTAAGATTTTTAAATTAATAGGAATAAGAGTACTGTTGTTTTTTAAAGGGATGATTGTCATGGCTCTTTTTAAATTTCCCTTGTTTTGTTTTTCTTAGCCCTGTACCAGGCCCATTTCCTCTTCTGTTACATCTCCCTAATGGACAAACCATGCCTGTTGCTATTCCTGCATCAATTACAAGTTCTAATGTGCATGTTCCAGCTGCAGTCCCAGTAAGTTGTAAAGTTAGACTAATTCTTGTAGCAAACTGGTTTTTGTAAAGCAGTTAGAAAATATATTTGGAACTGCTTCATTAGCTGAAACTAAACTTAACAAAATACTTATTAGTGATGTAATATTTACTTGTTGATATTTGTAGTAATAAAATATACGATTGTAGGCAAATGTAATTGGATAGAAAAGAGTTTTTCCTTCCCATTCAAATCTTGATTTCCTGCTTTTTTTTTAATACTAAGAACTTCACCCCTTGTTCAGTTCATTTCAATTTGCCTAGATTAGTAGAATTCAGATATTTCTGATTTCTGCAGGTTTTTTTTTGTTTTGTTTTAACTGTGGATTGAACACAGGGCCTCATGCATACCAGGCAAGCATTCTACCAATGAAGCTATATCCTCAGCCCCAGAGTTCTAATTTTTTTTTTTTTTTTTTTTTTTAAATATGTATTTATTTAAGTTCTCGGCAGACACAACATCTTTGTATGTGGTGCTGAGGATCGAACCCGGGCCGCACGCATGCCAGGAGAGCGTGCTACCGCTTGAGCCACATCCCCAGCCCCCAGAGTTCTAATTTTAAAGATACTAATACTAGAACGCTATCAAATAATTCTATGGCATTTCTATTTACTTATAAAGACCTCATAAAGGTTCTGTGAGCCTTTATGGTCCAATTAGTTTTACAGAATTTCTTTGATGGCCCAAGCATGTTAAAATCTAAATGTGCTGAAGTAGTAGTCTCCCAGTTTGTAATGAAAAGATCCAAGAGATTATTTTTGAAGGGCATGTTCAATATATAAATTTTGGAAGACATGGACAAAATAGTCAAATAACTATATATGATATTTAATAGTTTAGTGAGAATTTAAAAACACATTGTGAAATGCTGCAACTTAGAAATAATGCTTTTTTCCTACTCACTTTCTGGGGGTGGGCAGTGGGTGGGGTACCAGGGACTGAACCCAAAGGTACATAACCACTGAACCACATCCACAATTCTTCCTTTTTATTTTTTGAGACAGGGTCTCGCTGAGTTGCTTAGGCCCTGGCTAAATTAGTGGGGCTGACTTTGAACTTGTAGTCCTTCTGTCTCAGCCTCCTGATCTGATGGGATTACAAACATGTGCCATTACACTCTGCCCTACTCTCATGTTTAATAAACAGTTTAATTCATAACTTTCCAAATGTGTCAACATTTCACATTTTAATCCTGAGAACCACTGCTTTAAATATCTAACAAAGTTTTCCAAGCACATCATTTTTATTTTCACCTAAATTATTTATGATATAATAGTTTTTGAATCTGTAGTTTCCTGGAAATCTTATCCAAAGCCTTAGATACTCATTTATATAATAAAAAAGTTTAGTTTTTAAATGATGACTTTTAGTAATGTTAACACTGTATTTCTTTTTAAAATTATTTTTAAAAGCCTACTTATAGTAACAGATACTTTGAATACAGTGTACCCCCAGAAATATTAAGAGATTAATATTATGTTTATACTTTTTTAAATGCTTAATACTTTAATTCTTCCAAGTGATCTAAGTATCCAAAATCAGTATTGACTGGGATAATTTTAAGATAATAAGACTTCTTCAAAACAAAACTTTTGTTCAAAATTTATTATTGGAAAGACTTTTTGTAAAATACTCAAATATAAGTTCTTCCTTTTTGCTGAGGATATTTTTGAGATGGAAAACATTTTTGCCTTGTATTTGAGATTATATGGTTATCCTATTAATTGTATCTGTGATGACAGCAACTTAAAAATGAAAGAAGAGTAGTACTAGTTAAAAAAAAAAATGTGGTAAAAATCTGTTCCAGATTATTTGAGAAGTTGTTAGAAGTAATCATCTTCTTTGTTATTATCCAATATATTGATACATCAAAGAAATCATATTTTAGAAAATTTTCATATACAAATATATATTTTAGAAAAGCAGAGTTCATTGTTGAAATTATTTTTTATGCCTATTGTCACTAGTTTTGACATTCTTTCAAATGCAAAATGAAAGTGACAGATTTGTGAGAAATTTTGCATTAATCACTTCCAATACTATGAGTTTTTAAAAGAAACATTAAAGAAGTCATGAAAATTGAAGATTAGGGAAGCACATGTCTCAGAGAAACTGACAACTTTTGAGGGATATATCTGGATGTAAAGCAGGATTTGGTGTAGACATATAATCAGCTAGAGATAAGTTTTATAATTTTGTGATTTTAATGTTTCAAATTGTAATAGCCATTATACAAATAAAAATACAAACCTCATTTTGAAAATATTCTATAGAAAATATTTTTCAATATCTTTTTTGCATAGCTTGTTCGACCAGTCACCATGGTGCCTAGTGTTCCAGGAATTCCAGGCCCTTCCTCCCCTCAACCAGTACAACAGTCAGAAGCAAAAATGGTGAGCAAAAATTTGTTTATTTTGTACATTTTTTTAAGCTTTGAATTAGTTTTTTCCATTAAAACCTGCTTCAAAGGTACAGTTTAGGTCCCATTTTAAAAAGTCATGAACTATATTACATTGTAGAAGAACCATAAATTTTGGCAAAGGAAAGCTTCTATTAGCGTAGTAATTGGTTAGTGGTACTTTAAAATAAATGGGTGAGTTGGGAATACAGTTCTAGTTCTTATCATTTGTAATTTGTCTGGTTTTGACTTTTTTAAACAAACTCTCCTCCTGGTGGAGACTAGGAGTGTTACAGCTGAGACTATGTGTAATCATCTGAAGGCAGGGCTGAATGAGTGGTTTTAAACAGTATAAAAAAAATTCTGAAATAGTATACAAGCTAGGAAACATTGTACATGATAAATAAAAGTATATCTTTTTCTATTGTGTTTCAGACATAAGAAATTAGTATTGTTTTTACTGGGGAATAAGATTAATCAAATTATGTAATGTGCATGTGCAAGTAAGGCATAATGAATTTCACTATTATGTCTAATTAGAAAGCACCAGAAAGAAAGAGAAATTAGTATTGCTTAAAGGGATAAGATCTATATTTTAATTTTAATCCTAACTTTCCTATCCACTACCCTAAATCAAGCCAGTTTAACTTTTCTGAGGTCCACTTTTCATTGTCTTTAAAATAGAATTAAGACTTGATTTCTGGCGTTACTCAACCCAAATTGCCATAAACTTTTTAACTTTCTTTTAAAAGACATGAGATTTTTTTTTATTTTATAATCAGTGTAATTCTTCATTCTACAGTCTGAGACAATGCAGGACTAATTCTTCTTAACATCAATTAATTAGTGTATTCTTAGAAAATCAATAAATAAGTAGTTATTAGATCCTTTTATTTGCTTCAGTTCTAGGCACTATATTAATGATACAATTGCGTAGACATAAAAAACATTACATGTTGCAAGACTTACAGGTTTTTACAACTATTCTCTATTAGTGCAAATAATCAATCTGATATTTGCACATGATAACCTTTGTTTAAAAGTTAACACATCATTTGAACGAACGACAGTTGGTTGAAAAAATGTAAACATTGACTGGTTATTGTTTGTGGTGAAAGAACAAAAACGTAGCGGGTAAAATTGTTCACATCATAGAATGTTGGGTCAGAGCCTTTGGAAATATTAAGATGAACTTGATACCAGAAGAAATTCACTGGGGATATTTTTTATACTTGCTGTTTAAAATACTATATTAATGAAAAATTCAATTTAAGATTCCATGCCGTGAGAACTCTTCCATGGAAGTCAAAAAGATCCTGTTGTTGTAGACTGCACCAAAAAATAGGCTTACACATTCAGTGGACTTTTTTTCCTACAGATTTATTCAAAAGGAAAACATCCAATTTAAAGAAGTTCTTTTGGCTACAAGTGTAGGCAATAGTTCTAGCATCTATTAAACCTAAGACTAACTAAATAACTTTTTCTCTTAGGTAATTAGGAAACTAAATTAAAAGAGTAAAAGTGTTTTGAACATTTATGTGTGAAAAAAATAACCAAAGCGATAACTTTTATCATTTTATATATAAAAAACAATCATCACTTAAAAATCCCAAAACTAGGCTGGGAGCAGTGGTGCACGCCTGAAATCCCAGCAGTTTGGGAGGTTAAGACAGGAGGATCACAAGGTCAAAGCCAGTCTCAGCAATTTAGAAAATCACTAAGCAACTCTGTGAGACTCTGTCTCTAAATAAAATATAAAAAAGGGCTGGGAATGTGGCTCAGTGGTTAAGTAACCCTGAGTTCAATCCCTGACCCCGCCCCCCACACAAAAAAAAAAACCCACAAAATAATCCAATTTAATTTCTTATTAGAATTTTGGTAATGTAAAATAGCCATATTTTCATGATTGCCTATTTTAATTGGGATAATAAATAAGATTTCCCTATTTTGTATTAAATAAAAAATATGGAAATTATTCTACTTTCTTTTTAAATTTTTTCTTATGAAAAATTTCAAAATATAAAAAGAAAATAGGATAATATAACAAACTTCCATGTATTCATCACCCAACTTAGTAACGTGACACTATCATTCTTATATCTGTACTTCCCATTTAACTGTTTTTATTTCTGTCTCAATTCAAAATTTACATACACTGATTGAGTCAATTATACTTTTATAGTTTTAATAATTAAAGGCGTTCACAGAACCCACACCACATTATGATATAGAACATTGACATCTACCTAGAAAGTTTTTTGTTTCCCTTCCCTGTTAGTTCTCCTTCCAGCTGTTCTGCTGCTATAGTGACTGTAGTCCTAAAATTTCATATAAATGAAATTAATATGTACTCTCTTATATCCAGCTCAGTGAATGTCTCTGAGATTTGTTCATGTTGTTGAGTGTATCACAGTTTGCTTCTTTTTATTGCAGAATAGTATTCCATTGTGTGAATAAACCACAATTTTTTTGTCCATTCTCCTATTAATGGCCACTTGGTTTCCAAGTGGTTAGCTGTTTTGAGTAAAGCTACTATTCGCATTCCTTTTGTTTTTATTTTAATTTAGTTTCATTTTGTTTGGATCAAACCCAGGGCTTCAGCGTGCTAGTCAAGCCCTCTTCTCTACCCTGACCTACACCCCAAGCTCCCACTACTATGCACATTCTCCTACAGTTCTTTGTGAACATAATTTTTATTTTCTTGGAAAATACCTAATAGATAGAAATGCTGAGTCAGGGTAAATGTATAAGAAATTGTTTCTTTTACCAAGAGTTTATATTGCCTCCAGAAGTATATGGGAATTTCCTTTGTCTCCACAGTCTTGCTGACCTTTAGATTTCTGTTTTTAATTATAGACATTCTAGGAGTGTATAGCAGTTTCTGGTTGTTTGCATTTCCTTTTTGACCAAACTTTGTGAAGTCTTTTGCCCATTTTTTAATGGCTTTTCTTTTACTGTAGGAATTCTTTATATATATATTGGATTCAAGATTTTTGTTAGTTCTGTATGTGGGTGTGTAACATGTACATATATGTGTGTGTGTGTGTGTGTGTGTATACGTATGCATGCACACACACACATAGATATATATTTATATTAGGAGGGGGGGTTGCAATTAGAATTATATCTTAGTGAATTTTTGGTTTTTTGTTTTGTTTTTTGGATGCCATTGATAGTGACTTTTGTGCCCCAAACTGATTATTCGGGGACTACTTTTTAAAAACATGTTCACATTTATCAAAGTTACAAGTTTGAAAACTTAAGTTTCTTAAGTTTTCAAAGCAATTTACAAATACAAGTGTGTAATAATTGCTTCTAAAGGGTTTTAAATATAATGCATCTGAAATATGTTAAGCCACATTTGTAAATTTATCTTTGTTATTACCTCAGTTAACAAACTTTCCTAAGTGTTTGATAACTCTTAAACTTGAAGATTTGATGAGGCTTGGTTTTCTTAGATATACCTATAGCATTTAGAAGCTTAGTTAAGATTATCTTACTACTGAAAACTAAAATTTACAGGTCTAAATCAATCTCCAAATTAAACATTTTTAATTAAAATACAAAGATAATCTGTTACTCAGTGTAGCAAATTATTTTAGCACTTTTAGAACTGAATTGATTTCCAAGTTTAAAGTTAAAATGTCAGTGTCATGAATTTATTAGTAAGCTTCAGGAGATAAATTAAAAACAATTCTGTCGACCCATCTGAAGACTGTTGAAGTTAGGTTCATATCAGTTCACAGAGGTTTCTTGATGACCGAATTATTGATCACAGGACTAGATGTTTTCCTGCAACAAAGATAGAACTCCACATTCATTTTCTCCAAGTGGATGGTTCTGTTATGCCAGATTTGTGGGACCCCAATAAATCTCCAGGAGCCAAATCTGATGCAAGCACACAAGAGTCTTTTTTGCAAGCTCGAGGCTCGACTCACAACCGTTCTCGAAGCAGCGGTCCCAGGGAGTGAGTCCCGGTCCTTTGTTCAGTGAGATTTTATAGGTTTGGGGGGGATACTCTATGCGTCACAACATCACACAGCAAATCATTCCATGCCGAGGGAAAGTCAAACAACAACTCTTAACATTGATTAGCACATTCACTGGCGGGAACAAGTCGGGTAGGGGTGATTGGTCAGTACAAGAGGGGGATTCGATTGAACTGATTGGTTTAGGCCAAGAGGGGTGTACGTGCTAAACTACATGGTTTCCCAACATGTTATCAACCACCATAAACTACTTGGGGGTCATTTGGCATTTCAGGTATTTTCCCTGTCTCATGCTGATTGGAGATTGCTAGGGGGGTTGCTATGAGTCCTCACCTAGCCTAACTGAGTCAGGAACACCTGGTGTCACAGACCTCTCCTGTTATTTACAGACAAACAACTCAGCAGGGTGGGTATGTACTTAGGAGTGCTCTGTGGGTTTTTCCAAGGACAAGGGTTATGTCCCCTTCCTTAGGACAGGCCTTGAGGTAGAAGCTGCTGTTATTTATTTATTTTTTAAAAATGGAGTCACATTAGTTTCTCAGTTCTTAGCTCACAACCCCTGAATTCATTTAACATGTTAAATAATTCTGGCTGCAGCCACCAGTAAAACCTATTTCTTTTACTATTTCAGTTGAATTTTGCTTTGTTGGTGTAGTGGTGGTAGTTTTCAACTCTTTGAAAACATGTAAACATCTTTTTAAAATTTTTCTTTTGTGGTACTAGGGATCAAACTCATGTGCATTCTACCACTAAGCTACATCTACAACTCTTGATTTTCTATTTTGAGACAGGATCTCACTAAGTTGCTGAAACTGGCCTTGAACTGGCAATCCTACTACTTCAGCCTTCTGGTAGCTAGGATTACAAGTGGTACACTACCACACCTGGCTAAAAAAAATCATTCTTTTGGGGTTCTACATCTCTCTCAAGAACTGTTTGATCTTTGGTCACAATATGTTAATGGCATGCTACATAGTTTAGTGTAGTAGTGATTCTGCTCATATGA